TGTACTTGTTCTGTATTCCTACATTGGAGTTCACTGCTATAAATATCCCTGAGGACAGCTTTCATTCCGTCCCACTGGGTCCGGTAGGTTGTATCTCTAGTTTCATTTGATTGTAAATAGTGTTTAATCTCTACTTTGATTTCATCTGTGACCCATTGGTTGTTCAGGAAAATGTTGTTTAATTTCCAAATGTTAATGGAGTTTTTGTGTTTTTGTTTGTCATTAATTTCCAATTTCATTGCACTATGACCTGATAGTATACATGGGATAATTTCAATTCCTTTGCATTTACTTAAACATGTTGTATGTACCAGTGTATGGTCTGTTTTAAAGAATGTCCCATGTGCAGCTGAGAAGAATGTGTATTCTGATGCTGTTGGGTGGAACACTCTGTAAAGTTCTACTAATTCCATGTGTTCACTCGTTTGGTTAAGTTCTGCTATTTCTTTCCCAATTTTTTGTCTAGTTCATCTATCTCTTTGTGACCATGGTGTGTTAAAGTCCCCTGTTATGATTGTGTTGCTACTTATCTCATTTTTTGTGTGCGTTGGAATTTGTCTTATATAGGTGGTATCTCCTATATTTGGTGCATAGATGTTTATGATTGTTATCTCTTCCTCTTGAAGCTTTCCCCTCACAAGTATGTAGTGACCTTCTTTATCTTTTTTGATTGTTCTTGGTTTGAAGTTCACATTGTCAGCAAACAGAATAGCTACACCTGCTTTTTTCTGGGTTCCTGTAGCATGGAGTATTGTTTCCCAGCACTTAATTTTCAGTCTTTGAATTTCCTTTTGAGTTAAACGGGCTTCTTTTATACATCATATAATTGGGTTTTGTTTCCTAATCCACTCTGCAAGTGTGTTTCTTTTGGTTGGTGCATTGAGACCATTTACATTGATGGTTATAACTGATATGTACTGGCTTGTCTTTGTCATGTTATTCTCCTGTTTTGGATATTTCATTTTCCCTCTGTTTAATTGCTTGCTTTGCTTGGTGATTCCTTTCTGTTGTTGTTCTTGAAGTTGCGGTCTGTTTTATCTCTTTCTAGTATATCTTTTAGTACTCTTTGTAGGATTGCTTTGGGGCTCATGCATTTTTCAGTTGTTCTTTATCATGGAAATATTTTATTTCTCCTTTAAATTTGAAAGAGAGCTTTGCAGAGTACATCAATCTGGGTTGGAAGTTGTTTTCTTTCAGTACCTGAAATACTTCACTCTAAGCTCTTCTTGCCTTGATGCTTTGTGTTGAGAAGTCTGCCAAGATTCTGATAGGCTTTCCTTTATAGGTGATCTGTTTCTTTTCTGTAACAGCTTTTAATATTCTAAGCTTTTGTTGAGTTTCTGGGATCTGGATCACTATATGTCTGGGGGTAGATTTATTTTGGTTATGATTAACTGGAGTTTTATATGCTTCACTTATCTGGACGTCTGATTCTCTTACCATGCCTGGGAAATTTTCTGCTATTGTTTCTGCAAATAGTCTTTTTATGTCATTTCTGTTGGCACCTGCTCTTTCATTAATACCTATTATTCTGACATTGATTCACTTTGCTTCGTCTTCCACTTGTTGAATTGTTATTTCCTGGTTCCTTCTTGTTTTTAAGAGATCCCTCCTTTCACGTTCATTAGTGGCAATGCTGTCTTCGAGGTCTGAAAGTCTATCTTCAGCTTTGTTCAGAGGGTTTTGCAAGTTTTCAATGGAATTTTTAAGTTCCAGGATATCAGTGTACATCTGTTTTATACCTTATAGTTCTTTTCTATGTTGTTCCCTGAACGTTTCATTGAGTTGTCTATCCTCTTTTCTTTTCTTGTCTATGTCATCTTTAGCTATGCTGAACATTTGTCTCGTTACTGTTGTTATTTCTTTTTTCACTTGAGACATTATTTCTAATCTGATGTCTTCTATGACCTGATGGAGTTGTTTCTTTACTTCAGTTGCTATCATTTCAGAAATTTCAGTGTATGACTTCCAAGTTCTTCTATGTTGATGCCTCCTGGACTTGTTTTGGGTGGTGTGAAGGTCTGGGATTTCATTTTGCTCCTTCATTTTGTCATTTTTGAAGAACCAGATACTCCCTGTAGTGCATTCTCACTGTCATGATTGTGTATGAGTGGCAGGGATAGAGTCTGAAGATACCCAGTACCCAGTGTAGCTCCTGTGCTAGTGAGTGGTGATAAGGTGGGGTCCCAGATGCTCCCGACATTTCTTGCATTCAGTTGGCTCCCCAGAGTGTGTGGGAAGGGCAAGGGAAGCTTGCTGGTGTTCCTGAGACTGCCTGGGGTTCGGCCCAGCTTCCACAGCAGTAGCGGGGATGCAGTTCATGTTCACGGAGGCTTCAGATTTTGCCCAGGACAGAGCCTGCTTCCCACATTGGAAGGGGAGGGGTGAGGTTGAGCTCCCTGAGGACACTGACTATGTTCAGGTTTCAGCTGAGCTACCAGGGGTGTGTGAGTTGCTCTGGAAGTGACCACCAAGGCCCCAGAAGTTGTCCAGATATCCATGTGCCTTTCACCCTAGTGGGGGAGGCCCCAGAGTAATTCACTGCATTCCTAAAGGTGTCTGACGTTTCGCTCAGGCCCGGAAGATACACTATGGGTGTGGTAGGTAGCCACCGAGGAGAAGATGTCCGGGGTTCAGCCCAGCCACGACAGACACACTATGGGTGCGGTGGGTAGCCACCAAGGCCCCAGAGGGTGGCTGGCATTTCTTCTGCCTTGCACACTGGTCAGGGAGGAAGAGCCCAGACTCACTGGGCTTCCTGAAGATGTCTGGGAGAGGAAAATCATTTTAAGAGTGTTTTTTAATGCTTAAGTTCATTGTACTGAAACAATGATGCAATAAAATTAGGAGAGAATGCTCTTTGCCTTAGGACTTTATCACTCAAGTAATTCTGGGAAAGATTTTTTCCTTGGATGGTGCCTTGATGAGTTTAATCAGTATTTCTTATTTTAATTCAGCTTTTTATGTCTATCTCTTGCAAACCAACTGCCTTTTTTCCAATATGTCTTTTCTTTAGATGTGAAATAGAATTTTATATAAACAATGACCATCTTCCCTGCCATTCTACTATATTAAAATTTCAATTCATTTTTGAATACACATTCTTGTAATTGCTAGATATTTTCTGTCCCTACTGCAGTAGCAGTCTTCTATAATACAGTATTATTGTACATTAACGAATTTTTCTTTACTTTCTAATCAAGGGAATTTTAGACTTATCTTAAATACTAGTCCACTGTTAGTTAATGTTAAAACCATATTATTCTCACATACTTTTTTGTGAATTAGTATCTCTTCTATACTAAATCTGTCAATTTATTTTACTTTGGCATATACCACAGTGATTTTATTGGACTTTATAATTTCATATGAAGCTAGAGTTTATCACATAATGTTTAAGTACACATGACCTTAGCATGTTTAACAGGTTGTCCATTAATTCTGTATCACTAGTAGTCATTCATATATATATATATATACATACATAATTATACACACATGATATAAGCAATTTTAAGATTATCTACAATTTCAAAAAGTATATCTCTCAGTACTAGGGTAAATGGATATGTGTCTTGAGGCCTAGAGAAGAAAGCAGTACTGGTTTCCTTACCTTCTTTTTTATTGACCATGGTACAATAGTTTGTTAGTCAGCTCTCTGTGGCTTTTACAGCAAACCTTAGAACAATTTAAGAAAGAAAGTTTGTTTTTGGTCTGGGATTCAGACCTTTCCATCCACTGTCATTTGGCTCAGAAACATTATGGAAGAAGGAGGAAGTGGAAGAAGGAGGAAAATGGCTCAGATCACATCAGCCAGAAAGGAGTGAAACAGGGAGGGAGGGAGAATAGGAGAGGAAACAAGAGCAGGAAAGGGACAGAACACCAGAGAGGAAGTGGATGGAAAGAAGATATAAACCTAAAGTTCAAGTCCTCATAACCTACTCTATTTAAGTACGCCCACTTTTTAAATTTCCAAAAACTCTCAATAATTTCATTGAATTAAGACTCTATCAGTGGATCAACATTCTGATGAAGTGAGAGCCCCCATGTTACAATAACCTTTTAATGTAGGAGAAATATAACTCCCTACCTGCTAGATATCAGATGTACTGAATTTGTGCCCCAGAAATTGAAGAATCAATTCCAAAGGACAAAAGAAGTTAAGAATAGAAAAGGTTTATTGGGGGATAGAAATAGTTCCTAAGAGACGGGAGGGGTCCCAGGTGTACTGCCATCGAGGTCATTTGTCTAAGAATATTTTATAGGGCAAATCATGAGGTGGGTACAGAATCGATGTGGGTACAACATCGATCAAACTATAATCAGCCAATAAGGTTATGAGTATAGCTGCTTAGCTAAGATTGATATAAGAGGGATGCAGAGCATGTAGCAAGCAAATATGCCTCACATCATTAACCTTGACTTATCTCTGAATTCTGAAACAGAAACATTTAGAGAAGGGATGGGCTCAAGGCTTTCTTCTCCAGGCTTGTGTCTGATGCATATCTGAATTTAATGGAATGAGTGGTAATAATTAAAATATGATCACAAATTTCCATTCATCCCATAGTAGAGTATGTAATTCTAGCCACTGTGACTTTATTTTGAGGCCTTGCCTCCTTCAGATGCACCTCTAGCCATAATTCTGATGTCTCCAACTTTCACTGACTTCCTTGAGAACCCAGTCCTTTTCTGACTATACATTAAACATTATCTAATTTAACACATGTGTTTTTATGGGAATTTTAGATCCAAACAATAATAAACTGGGACTCACAGGCTAGTTTTACTAAAAGGCATTGGTTTTTTCACATGGGCCTGCAGTTAACTGATGGGTTGCAAAGCAGAATCAAAGCTTGACATCTTTGCCTTCATTTAGTATTTGACTCTTTGGTACTTTAAACTCTGGGTGACATGCCTGCTGATCTCTACATGTAAACTTGTTAATCATTCAAGAAGTGTTGGTCTAAAGCTGATAGTTCTCCCCATTTCAGGCTGATAGCAGAAAAGAGTAACTGATATAATTGTCAACATCTGCAGGGACACTATCATCCAATCTCTACTGCCAGATTGTACTAGGTGG